TCTAACCTTTGAAGTAATTTTATATCTAATATTAGTGGATGTTCTAGAGTTGCAGTTATTGGACGACATTTTTCTAATGATTTTTTATTTTTTTTTATTTTTCCCTCGTGTCCTCCCGTCCTTTCTCCTTTTTTAAACGACATCGTCATGACGGCCATTTGTGATAAAATGTGTAGGTTAATTATTATTATCGTATGTTAATAACTGCAAACACATCGTTCAATACAAATTATTATTATTATTATTATTAATATTATTATTATTAAACGCGTGGAGATTTTATTACAAATACTCGACGATTTAAAAAAAAAAAAAAAAAAATTTTAAAAGTTTGATCACGAATATTTATTTTTTTTGTGAATTCATGACGAAAGAAAATTTTCGTTTCGTTAAATAAAAAAAATAATTGCTAAGGTCAATACTAGAAAAAAAAAAAAAAAAGGTTTAAGAAAGGAAAAGTTCATCGTCCTTTTTAAAGAAAATTTTTACTTCCGGGTTTTATCATCTATTCTTATATCATTCAATGATTACTTATAATATATTATTCAAGAGAGAGGAAAATTTTTAAAATTTGGAAAAAGGTAAATAAACAATCATATTAAAAAAAAATAAAATAAATCAATCGATATTCTCTCTCTCTCTGTCTCTCTCTCTCTATCTCTCCCTTTTTTTTAAAAATGCATTTTAAATCAAATTAAATTTCAATTTTTTTTTCGTTTGTTTGTTTTTTAAAAAGTACTCGAAATAATTTACGAATAATTATGAAAATTTTATTTATTTATTTATTTAACAAAATTAATTTCTATATAAATTTCTCATTTTTTCAAATAATTTTTTATTTATTGTTTAAATAATAATAATAAAATTTTTTTTTCGAAATAAAATCCAATTAAAAAATTAAAAAATGTTTTTTTTTGTAATAATATTATGTATCGAAGTTAATAAAAAATAAAAAACTTTTTATACAAATTGAATGAATTCTCCTAATCACACCGTGTAAATTCAATTTAAAAAAAATAATTTAATTAAAAAAGTATTATTATTATTATTAAGTTTTTTAATAAGTTAACAGTCTAATAAATAAATTTATGAAAAAAAAAAATTTTTTTTTTTATTATCCTAAATCCTACGTAGAAAAAATAAATAAATTAAACGTCAATGATAACAACAAACAACACACGTGACAAAACAATGGATAATAAATTTATTTTAACCTTCATCAATAATTTATTTTATTATTATTATTATTATATTTTTTTTATTACCGCCATATATGGAAAAAATTAATTACTTACTAATTAATATGATTTTTCAAGTGTAGTAATAAATTCAATTTAAAAAAAAAATCGTTAACAATTTAATTTAAATTTTAATAAAGAAAAAAAAAACGTTACAAAATTTTTTTTATCGTTAATATTTTCGCGGTCGCGATTTGTTTTGAAAAAAAAACAAAAAAGCGACTTTAAATGAATAAGACTAAATTTTAACTAAAAAAAAAAACATTTTCAGACTCGTTTTATTGATTAATGAAAAAATAATAATAATAATAATAATAATAATATTCTGCCCACCTGTATATTCGGTTGGGTCTTAAAATAAAATTGTAACCACGCAACAAACTCAAAGTTGTTACTTTACTAAATTTTTTTTTCTTTTTTTTTTTTTTACAAGATTTGATTAGGTTTATACAATTATTACCATCCTCTCTAGTTTTTCCTAACATTACTTAAAAAATATTTAAACCAAAAAAGATTGATTATGTCAAATAATATTTACTGTCAAATGAAAATTTATTTAATTACATTTTTATTTTTAATAATGAGTGTGTGAGTGTGGGTGGAATGGTATGTAACAAAATTTACTCATTAAATCTTATTGTGACGTATTTAACAACTTTTTATTTTGCAATTAGTAGAATCGATTAAATGAAAATAAATAAATGTTAATAATAAAGACTTACCAATATTTATTTTATTACACTTCAACTTTCCCAGATATCCCCAAAAGTTATTTTATTCAATATTATGTAATCCTATTTTCCGTTAGAGTGAAATATTATTATTATTTAAATAACTTTAATAATTGCGTTTAAAATATTAACACTTAAAATAAAAAAAAGAACAATGAAAGAAAATTATAAACTTACAATTATAAAATAACAAAATTAATATTTAAAACGGTGAAATTATTTTTATTATATTACTAGAAACAATTATTTTTTTGTTTTCTTAAAAGTTGAAAATTCAAATTTTACTCTGTGCTTTATCTAGTTCCACGACATTCACCTTAACAAACAAAAATTTAAGAAAATTTTAGGTTATAATATTCTCGTTACATTCTAATTCCACGTTAAACTAATGTACACAAAGTAGTTTTAATTTTTTTTTTTTATAATAATAATAAATTTTTAAAAATGCAAAGGGAAGAGAAACAGTTGGAAAATGCATTAGACGCCATAATGCAAAGAATATCTGATTTGAAATCTTCATTGGCAGCTATGATTTTTAAAATAGAAAACGAATACGAAACAATTAATTGGCCAACATTTTTGGATAATTTTGCTCTGCTTTCTGGACATGTAAATTTTTTTTACACATCACATTTAATCGGTGATTATTGTAATTCACTGGTAAACATTAAATTTTTTGTTTTTAGTTAACTACATTGTCTAAAATGTTGGGTGCGGATAAGACGCCACCTCTTAGAAATTTAACTGTTTTGCCTCTAATGTTATCTCCTGAAAGAGATGAGGAATTATTAAGATTGACAGAAAATAGAGTACCTGCTTTCACTCATGACTTAGTTCCAGATTATTTGAGAACCAAACCAGATCCTGAAGTTGAACAAAAAATGATTCAACTAGAACTTAAGGCTGCAAATCTCAGCAATGAAACAGCTCAGGTACGATAAATCGTAAAGATTTATTATTTAAATTGTAACTAAATTCCCGATTCATGCACGATATGTATAACTTATTTCAGAAACAAGTTGCAGCTTATAGTAAGGTTGTTAATCACATATATGAAATAGTTTCCAAAGCCAGAGAAGAATGGGAAACTGAAACTTCATCGAGAGCAGGGCAAACTCAAACATCGAGCATGGCTGACACGCATGCATTAGTAGCAGCTGTAGGAATGGGAAAAGGATTAAAAGCAATGCCTGGAGCTCCACCAGGCATGATGGTAGCACCTGTAGGACCTGGAAGACCTCCAGGACCTTCTCAGCAAGCTCAACAAATGGGCCCAATCGGTGGAAAAGCTCCTAGTACTATTAAAACTAATATTAAATCGGGAGGTTCAATGCATCCTTACAGTCGCTGATATTATGATTATTAAGAAAGCGACTTATTATTACTAATAGTGTATTTTATTATTTCAAATAATTAACTTAGTTAATTTATTGAAAAAATGTGTAAAAAAAAAACATTATTTTTATATAAATAGTTATATTTAAAATTGCAATTATAAGTAAATAATAGTTTATTAAAAAATAAAATATAATAAATAAATATATTATTAAAACTATATGATCCGAATTATTAATATCTTTTTTAAGTGTAACCTCATTACAACAATATCACTGTATAAAAAAAAAAATTTTTTTTCTAAATGGACCAATGTATTATAAAATATATACCTTACAGCTTCCATTAAATACAAATTGGTGTGTACGACAAGAAATCTAATTAAATTTTTTCGGGGGTTTTTAATTTTTACACAGAGTGAAATTTAAATAAATGCGATAAAACTTGCTTAAAATTTACTTAATAATAAAAAATTATTTAATGTACAAAAAAAATAGAAATTTCAAAGTTTATATTTAATATTAAAAATGCAATGAATGCATAACAAAATTACTTTATTCATTAAATCTATATGTTTTTAATTGTTTCACTGTCATTTTTTTCCTCTTCTTCCTTTAAGCTTTTTTATCTATTGATATATATTTCTTTAGCCTAAAGTGTACTAAAAAATAGGTACAGGCAAAAAAACCTTAAGAAAAATCATTACAACATTTTGGCCCCAGGAAGAAAAAATTATTATTTATGAAGAAAAAGATTTCTTTAATTTTTATCTTGTAAAACTCGTAAGAAACAAACAAAACAACAACGAAAAGAAGGAAAGAAATACGATCTATGATGACGTATATAACAATTTCAAATAAATCAGTCGTCCTTGGTAATAACCTATTTAATTATAGTATTTTATTGCAAACATAGGAAAACTGACCATTCGCAGTGACCACCGAACTGTAAAATTTCACCTAAAGGAAAATTATAAAAATTATTTGATATGTGCAACAACTTACAAAAAAAAAAAACCGGATAAGGAACAAAAAAACATTGACGATAATAATAATAAACCCAATAAAATAGTAGTTAAAACAAATTAAATAATTTTAAATTC